TCGTGTCCTGATTGTCTGATTTCGTAACCTGATTTGTAACCGCAAAAAACTAGGGTAAAATAGTAAGCATTTTTAATGTTTTTTGTTTTGTTTGTTTTTTAACATTTTCGCTTCCAACAAGGCTGCAAACAAACACTAATTAGTGTTGGAAGTTACTGGAAGAGAAAAGATGAAGATTGTAAAGCAAGATAACGATTGACAGACGACTTAAAAGAATGCAAATTAAATGAATCAGGAAAGCAAGATGAAGGAAGCGAATTCCAAATAACTGATGTTCAAGGAAAAAAACTAGACAAATAAGAGTTTTTGGAGCACTTAGGAACAGTAACAGAAAAAGGATGAGACTTAATTGAATGACGAGTAACACGTGAATGAATTTTTGTTGATGGCACAAGAGACGCGAGCTCTTTAGAGCAATGCCCATTATAGTATTTGTAAAAAAGAGAAAGAGAAGCAACATTACGACGATGTGACAGAGGTTGAAGGTTGGCTGCAAGAGTAGGTCCAACTATGTTTACAATGCGTTTTTGCACCTTGTCTAAAAGAGAAAGGGCATCATTAGAAGATCCACCCTAAATATAACAACAGTATTCCATACTAGGCCGGATTTGAGATTTATAGAAATGGAGAATAGAATCCAGAGTAATAAAGTGACAAGCACGATAAAGACAAGCGACTTTAGCAGATGCTAATTTTGCAACGGATTTGATATAAAGTTTCCAAGAAAGATCAGAAGTAAGAGTTAATCCTAGAAGATGAAGGGTAGGAGACTCATCGAGTACATTACCGTTCATAATTATAGGAAGGTCTAAATTATTGTGATAACGAATGGCTGAAAAAAACTTTTATACTACAATTGGAAAGGAAGGATTTGATAATCTTAAAGATGTTTCCAGATACACTGTAAGAAGAAAGCTTATAGAAAAGACCAGCATGCCAAACTTTATCAAACGCCTTAAAAATGTCAAGAGCGATGGCCTTAACCTCTCCACCTTTATCTAATGCGCGATAAAACCTATCGGTTATTACTGTTAGCAAATCAGCCGTAGAACGAGAAGATCGAAATCCATATTGATGATCAGAAAGTAGGTTATGAGATTCGAGATGAGAGATTAAGTGTTTGTTAATTAAAGATTCAAAAACGTACAGATTAAGTGTTAGTTAATTAAAGATTCAAAAAATGTACATTCATATATCGAAATTGGATTTAAACAGAATAACTTTACATATAGAGGATTTATACCGAACTTTCCTGTACCATCCATGTTTCTTTTTAATATTAAAAAATTAGCAACGTCGCGACATAACATATGCAGTGGTTTTTATCAGCTATGTTCCATAAATTTTTTATAGCAAATGTAATTAAATTAAGCTAAAATGCATCTAAAATAAAAATTTTAATATTTAGTTATTAAACCTCTTGATTATTGGAAAGATGAATACCTACTGTTAACCCAATCATACTAGCGTTTACAAAAAAAGTTCTTGCAGCAGGACTTTCATAACGAGAGATCAAAAACTCATACTTTTAACTGGATCAATGTCGCCTTAAATAATTTCTAAAACATCGGAGTCCATTGATTTGTAAGCATTTAGGAAAGTAGATTGTCTCGATAAGAGCTTTTTAAATTTCATGAATTAAAATGTCACACCCGATACTTGATTATTATTTATTTATCAGTCGTTTTGCTTTCAGTTGTTGTAAGGAAGTGAATCTTGAAAATAAATTTAGTCTAATTTAATTATTTAGCCAATAAAAAATAGTTTTTTATAAGTTTTTTTATATCGTTTTAATTATGCCGCGTGGCTTAAACTGTTATGCGTTACTTCTGACCAATGGCTATATTGCTATATTATAAAATGATAAGCGTTTATTAAACGTTGATCAAACGTTTAGAATAACGACTTATATTAGTCAATATAGTAAACGTTTGATAGACGTTTAATAAACGTATATATTAAAAAATTTAAAGCGTAGATTTTAAATCTATAAATGTTTACGTTTATTTAAGGTCGATTAAAGATTTACAATATTGACTAATGTAAGTCGATATTCTAAACGTTAGATTGACGTTTAGTAAACGTATAAATAAAAAAGTTTGAAATATAGATTTAAAATCAAGCGTCGATTTTTAGTCAATAATAGGTCGCTAAACGTTTTATTAATTTTTTGATTGATTTCAACTAAATATTGACCTATTCTGAACCAATCTGTGTTTACTGGGCAGCTTAAAAAAAAAGACCGAAACTTGTTGCTAGTAGAAATAGAGTGTATAAAGAAGCATCACATCATCAAATAACACAACAGTAATTCGACAAGAATATTTGATTCCACCACATACAATATTCACAACTGATTTATAGGATGACGTAGATGAGGGCCACATGTGACAACCACGTAAGTGGTATAAATATCGAAGCCAAATATGGCACACTTTTATCCCATATTCCATAAATGAGGGTAGCTATCATTTAATGACACCTGAAAAAAAAAAAGAGAATATTTAGATATTTCATTTTTAAATGCGCCTTTTTTAATGATTCGTTAAAGTTATCAGTTTTATTTTAATTTTTATTTTAAGTTTTATTGACTTTATTGAGTAATTCTTGTTGGCTAATCAGTAGAACTGCAACATTTTTATCATTGACCTGGTATTAAAAACAATTCAGATCACCGGTTAGGTAGGTAAAATTGTTTTCGTTAATAACCTCATTCTATAAAAAGAATTAAAATTTTAAATTTATTTTTTGTTTGGATTATTATTAGAAAAAAATAAAGCGATTTACTGATCGTTTTATTTATTTTTTTAATATTCTTTAAAATAAAAGTACATGTATTTATACATACAAAAAATTATACTTTTTTAAATTTGCATTAACAAGTAATATATACTTTGTTTTAAGTACATCTTATGCGTAACAAAAATTTATATTTGAAAAGTTCATCATTAATGTCAAGATCTGAATTTTGATGATATAAACCATTCAACAATTCTACCGCCATTTTGATAGAGTACTGGCTTCAAAAAATTTGCGTACACACTATCTAGCTCAAACTGGTTTCGCAAAAGATGGCGAGCATTATCTTATAAATGAGTAGATCGTACAGTGATTTTAACAATATTAGAATCACTAACCAATTTTACTGATTTCGCATTTTAAAACAAGTGTGTTTAGATTTTTAAAATTGATAAAAAAAAAATAATAATGATTTGTTATTAGTTAGGTTTAAAGAAACTTGAGGTTTTAAATCGTTCATTAAAAGTTTTTTTTAATTTTAGAGCAAAATTGTATGATTTTAGTAATTTTTAAAAGTATACATAAAATATGATTTGGTATGTTTTCTCCTTACTAGAAAAGTTTTGATGATTATGGGAAATTATGTGCATACCAAGCAGCATAAAGAGACTTTGTGCGTTTTATTTTGAACATATGATAAATGCTATTCTACATAATACTAACACAAGTTTATAAGCAATGTCACTGCCTTAGAGCAAAAGTTAGAGAGATCAAGTCAAACCCCTATTCAAACTTCATGCATTTTCTCAGATAAAGTTTGTCAAAAAAGTAGGTAACAGTAAACAGAATACACCATCCCAAAAAACTTTATATGGCTGAAATCGACCCTAAAATGCTCTGATTCCAGTTTAGAAAATGGAATCTGGAAACTATTTATAGCTTAGCGAAAACTCTTGTTAATTAAGTTTGATAAAATTAAGTTGAATCATATTATTATATTGCACGCATTGTTGTTGCCTATTGCTACTCAATATATATATATATATATATATATATATATATATATATATATATATATATATATATATATATATATATATATATATATATATATATATATATATATATCTGTCTGATGGGTTGTTGTGGATTGTTATGCACTTTTTATTTATTCAATATTTAATTTATCTATGGACTTTGTGCCTATTTTCATTGTTATTTTTGTTTTAATATTAGAAACAAGGTTGGCTTAAAGTTATAAATATCTGATACTGTTAGGTTTTGGTTGATTTAAAAAAAATAGTCACAGTCGGTTATGTCTTTGTAGTAAATTTGCAGTTAAGCAGCGTAAAATAGTTTTATTTTTTTGCTTGCTGCAATACTTGCTCAAAGTACTGACTTTAATATAAATATAGAGAATATTAATTGACTTCAGTACATACATTGATTTTAATATAGCCTGCTGCTACAAGGGATTGCTGCTACATCGACTATTTTATAACCTGCTGCTACAAGGGAGTGTTGCTACATCAACTATCTTATAGCCTGCTGCTACAAGGAAGCGCTGCTACATGGACTGAGGGCTTAGCATAAGGCAGCAATCTTTTTTCTTTTATTGTTTCAATCAATATTCCTAATGATTAAAAAGCTTCCACTGATGAGAGCGCAACAAGCAAAAAATTAACACTATTTTATGCCACATAACTGCAGAATTATACAAAATACATTTTATTAAATTATCTTTAGACAAATCACTTTTGCATAACTAAAATAACACATATATGTATGTAGCATAACTTAAGTAACAATTTTATGTATGTAGAAGTATATTTTATAATGGGGCATTGGTGTAGTGATAGAGCACTCACCTAATAAACAAGAAGTTCTGAGTTCAGTTTCCACCATGACCTAGTACTGCGCTCTACTTGTTTCTCTGCGCAGCAACCTTGTTTGTTAAGGTTGTGTTTCGAAGTTATAGGGTTGAGGGAGGGTTGTAAACACAATTAAAGCCTCCTCAGTCTTCAATGTTTTATGGAGGTGAATTAAAGTTAAAAGAAAAGGATAAAACTCATAAATAACAAAGGCTTGTTGTAAACCTTCCCCAGTTGTTCTGTAATTGATTTTGGTTTTATGATTTTTTGTTTTAAATTGTAAATAGCACCCTGTTAGTAAAAATAGAGCTGTTTCTGTTCTCATTTATGACTTTACAGTAATTTAGTTTATATTTTTTAATGTACTGTTGTTTACATTTTCATTTAAATATATTATTTACTTTAAATTTAAGATATTAAAAATAATATATGCACATTCTTTGCAAATGGCATCTTTCCAGCAAGAAAAGTATGACCATGCATCATTCTTAGAAAAAAAAAAAGCTGAGATTCTTGCTCGTAAAAAGGGAGATAATGTTGTAAACCCACTGGGAACTGCTCAGTCCCAGTCTCCTAATGTATCATTTATAAAATCTGAAAATGGAATAACTGTTCCATTTGCAAATGATGGAAGTTTTTTAGAGAGATTTAAAGCAATGCAAAATCAACCCAAATCTTCTACATCAAATTCTAATTCATCTACCTCTTCAACTATGAAATCCATAATTAAAACAGAAGGACAAAGCTCATCTTTTACTACACTGAGTAAAGGACAATATGAGCCGTCTAAACTTGCACCAATATTTAAAGAAGAAGGTACAGTAATTTTTTTTTATCTATATAAAAAATTGTTTTTTTATTATTTTAGTTAAATATTTTGATGATATTTGTGCAAGTTAAGATATTTGTTAAAATACCATTTTTATGATATTTAAATTTGAAACATTGTTTCTAATTTAAGTATCATAAAAAAAGTTAATTGAATAGATAATACACTGTCAACATATGAAATATGTTTTTTCTAGCTTTGTAAATAGAGTGTATTTAATTCATAAAACTTTCATAAAAATTGTAGTTTTCAATATCATTGATTTATAATCTATGAAGGGTTTTTTTTTTTCTGCTTTTTTTTTTTGCTAAGGATCCTCTAAAGCATTGTCATTTATTTTATAAGGCCCTAAATGTTGGTAAATTTAAATTTTTAAATATCTTTAATAATATTTTTCATAATTTTCAGTTATGTTCATATTATATATAAATATATGAACCTTTAAAAGTTTTAAAACTGTTCTAACTTTCTTAAAAGTTAGTTTAACTGTTATGAAATAATAGTAAAAAACAAAATGGCTTTAAAACTTTATTTTTATGTTGATGTTTGGTTCTCATTTGCTTAAAGCAGCCTTGTTGTTTCTCATTTAATTAAAGTAACCTTGTTGTTTCATTTGTAAAAGTTTAAGTGTTAATGGTTGAGTGAAAAGAAAAGGTTTAATGAAACATGCATTAAAACAAGTTTTTACTTGTTACAAAAGAAAAAGTCCATTCAAAAAAAAAAAATTGAATTAAAAATTATTATGTTATACTTCCGTTATTCTCTTGAAGCCCTTCTATGCTACCTGAGCGTGATGAAAGGTCTTTATGAGTTCTTATTTAGCCAAGGAATGTATATCAAGTGAATATGCTCTCGCTGAGGAGTTGGCTCAAAAAGTTGCAAGAGATGGACCTGATGCAGAAGCCAAGGCGAAAATTCAGTATCAGAAAGACCCAAGATACAGGTTAATTTTTTGTTTATAATATTATAAAACATAATATAAGAATTAGTTTTTAAATGTTTTTCTTGATAGGTAATATCAAGAGACTTTCTCTAACTTTTTTTTTTTGATAATATTAGAAACCCATCTGAAGTTTTAAGTGGCTCCTAAAAAAAAATATTTCAAGTATTAAAGTCTTCCACATGTATTGAAAGTTCTTAAATTCCTGATTTTTAAAAGTCTCTCCTGAAATGTCCTAAATTATGGTAATTTTTCCTAAATACCCTGAGGTTTTAAATCATATTTTTTTTATATGCTTGGCACATTTATTAGGAATGAAGACAGGTATGCGACCCTGTTTTACTTAACTGTGGTTAGGTAGATTTTATCAAATGTACTTAGTGTAAGCATGAGACAAATTAAGTGATCACATATTACAATATCTGGAAATATTTCTGGTCTTCAAATTCTCAGTTTTATCATTCTCATTGAAATTTTCATTTATCATATGTACAATGAGAAAGTCGTTAATTGCTATTACCACATCTGCAATCTTATTCACTGGTAAAAAGTTGTATCTTGAGAAACTTTCAGCGTATTAATCCATCATTTAGAATATTTAGAATATTATGTGCCATGTACCCAGTTTGGACCTGGGGATTTGTTAATTCAGCTGTTTTACAGGGTACCCAGAATTGGCCATATTGTCACAGTACCCGGCACTGGGTATCTTAAAAGTAATTTTTAAGAAAAATTAACCTTAAATGCTGTGACTACTTGTTTAAGAGGTGCTTTAAATTGTGTCAAAATATTGTTAACAGGATTGCTTTTAGTTGAAACTTAAATTAATAAACTTCTTAATATAAGTCTAAGAGTGTTATAGAGTCGATAACCAAAAAGCCCTATTTACTCAATATAGATATGTCTTTAAATATTTTAAAAAATATAGTTTTGCATAGCAATCAGAATATATTGCAAAAAGGAAACTGAATTATACAGATTTTTGAATAGCTTCTTTTTATTATAAGAGAATTTTTTAAACTTGATAGACTTAACTTTAATTTTAAAGCTCTTGATGTTTTTGGCATTAACATCTTTATACAGTAAGTTATTGCAAATATTATCTAACCTGAGGAAGAAAGAATATTTAGGGGCATCAAGTTTACACAGTTTGAGTAATTTGAATTTATGAGCTTGAGTATAAATATAGTTGTTATTGAAAAAAAACTTGATATATTTAAGCAAACTTAATTAGCTCAAATTAACCAGCGTTATTTTGTCTAAACAGTTCAGCCCTAGAGATTTCACAAGTTTTTTTCTAATTTTTTAATATGGACCTGTCGGGTACCCGGACTTGGACTTATTATTTTCTGCCGGGTAACCGGAATTGGAACTCAGCATAAACTGGTTCCGGCACATCTCTAATGCAAAGATTGTGTATGGGTCTCATGAAGGTATCAATCACTGATAGCTTTTGTGATAAGGTTACCACAGAGTATGCTTTGAAAACAGATCCAAACTGATTTTGTGTAAAATAAAAGTATAAAAACTAATTTTACAAGAAATTTTAAATGAATTAGAGAATTTTTTCTTTGAAATGCTAAGCTGTTTTTCTGTCTTTTTATTTTTTAAAAAAAAGTCTTTTTTTGCTGATCAACCATTTGAGTTGGTTCAATCAATCAGCTGTTTGATTGAACCAACTTGAATGGCTGATCAGCAAAAAATCAATCAACTGATTGACTTTAATTGGCCAATTTGCTGATTGACCAATCATAGTCAATTTGGACTTGGAATCAAATACTAATGGAAAAGTTTTACTAAATTTGTCTACTATATATTTAATCATTTCACCCTTCTCACTCATCACATCCTGAAACCAGCCGGAAAGGTCTCCTTCATCATCATTGGTTATGTTTGCATCATTGTTAGTGCTGTTATCATCACAATTATTGCTATCAGTGCTATTCTTGTAATTTCAAATTTCTTTTAAGCTTATTTTGCCAGAAATTGTTAATATTTTTTACAAAATGCCTTGTACACCCAGTTGAATCCCATGCACAATTCAAAACTGTTGATCGCATTTCCTTAAATGACCAACTTTCTGCATTATGGTGGCTTCATCATTTTTAATTGATGTCCGGTCATCAAATGTCAAACTAAGTTGCATCCTTTACAATTAAAGATAAGCAAGCTTGGATATGACTGTTTTTCTTATTTCATTAGTGCAGCACTCAAAATTAAGGTTGGTCGACCTGGCGTTGTCTGAGGTTGGCAATGTTTTGCTGATCTCAGAATTTTAAAGCTTAACTTTATTTGCTGTTTTAAATAAATTAAAAACAGCTAAGTAGCAGCTTGTTTATATTCTGAATAAAATATAAACAGAAAAATGAACGTTTTATTCAAATTCCTTATAAAATAAAAAAATAAAAATGGCTAAACAAATGTTATTTAAATTGTAAACAAAACAATTCAAATAAAAGCATAAAAACAAGCATTTTAACTAAATTCTAAATTAAATAATAATTCCTGGTAAAATAATTAAAATAAATGATAAGAACTAAGGTTCTGTTTCAATTTCAAATAAAAACCTTTTATTTCAATTGTAATTGTAAACAAATCAATTCAAATATAGTGTTATTAATTTTAAATAAAACAACTTTAATAATCTTTGGTGGCTTGATATGCTGTTTCATGCTCTCTATATATCTCAAAGCTTAATATATATTCGAAAAACATCAATTAAACTTCATAAAGCTTCCATAACTTTTCTAGAAAATCTTATCTATTGATTGAAAGAGTGCCTAACCTAAAACATAAACCTTCAGTGGATGTTCATTCAACTGTGGCTATTGTAATTTAACTTAAATTGGAGTTGACTTGAATATTAGTCAATAATATAGCCGATATATCATCAATGAAAAAATAATTAATATTAATATAATTATTGAATAAAAATAATATGATAATTACTAAAACAGTAATAGTTAATACGCATTAGTATTAAATATTATAATGTGCTAAAAAAGTTATTTAATTTGTATATTTATCAAAAATTAAATAAATTTTTTATAAATATATAATTAAACAAGAATAATAGTTAAAACACATAAAATAATTTTCAAATAAAACATCAAAATTAAAAAATTAGTTTTCTATAAGAGGGTTGAACCCTCATACTAACCATCTACACCAATAAATTACTATGTTAAAAATTAGAATTATTTTTTGAAAAAAAAAACTTATTTGTATTAATATTTGTATAAATATTTTTTGCATACAAATAAATTTTTTTGTGATATTATTTGTATGCCCATACAAAAAATGACTTTTAAAGTAATATTAAATAATAAATAAAATTTATATGTATTAAAATGTATTCATTAGATAACTAAAAGCAGCTAAGAAAATTAAAAATATTATTATATTAAAAATAAAAAATAATTTTTTTCAGAAAGAGGGGGGGGGGGGGGGAGGGATTTTTATTTCTGTATATTTTTTTATTTATAAAATGATTTTTAAAATGAATTTTGTTTTTAACATTTTAGTTTTCTGTATGATCCGACACACCAAGTAGCAAAGTTCTTTAAAGCTCAAGTTAAGAAGATAATGAATGAACTTTGCACTGTCCCATCTACGGCACCCTCCAATTCAGCTCGCAAAAGGCGTTGGGATGATTCTGATGGTAATCCAAGCCCAGTAGTAACAACTTTACCAGTCAGTCAAATTACTACTTCTCCAGCTACCTCATTATCACAAATAAACTCTGAATCCGAATTTGAAAAAGCTAAAGCTCTTATAAGGGCAAAAGCAGCTGCTCTATTGGGAGGTGCTCCTATAATTGATACAGAAGAAGAAAAAAAAAGAGCCAAGGCTATAGAAGAACAGAAAATGGTGACTTTTTATTATTATCACTTATTATGATAGCATTATTGTATTAGTTATTATCACTTATTAAACAAATTTTTTTATTTTTTGAATCATAAACTTAACTTTTAATGTTACATTTTTTCACAAAAGTTTTTTGTCAATAACTCTTGTCAAAATACATATTTTTTTATTACATGTATGTAATGTATAGTTATTGTAATTAATTTAAAGACTAATTTGATAAGCATGAAGAGCAAAGGTCCTACAAAGTACTGTTCTTGGGGAATTTGTAGATCAGATTCTAGATATAGTGATAGATTAACTCCAAGAACATTTTAAATAAGTTTTCCTAAATCTGGAAATAATTAAGAAATAATGACTGACTGGCAAAAACAAATGAAAACTTTTAAATTAAAAACATGGCTTCATATGTTTAAAAGAAAAGATTTTAACAACATTGATGATTAAAAAAGTAGTATATAGGCATTATTTGATTTTTTTGGTCCAGCAAAATATGATTTAAGTTACTAGAATTCCACAAACAAAGATATTACACAAAAGAAACCTAACTAATTATAGCCTTGTTTTACCTTTAAAAGTTGTAAACTTATAAGAAATATCTTCGTTAGAGCCATGATGCTGAAATATGGCAAAAATTGAGATCATTTTATGTTTTGTTTGGCAAATACAAATTCTAACCCTGCATAGTATGCAAATTCTAACCCTGCATAGTATGCAAATTCTAACCTTGCATAGTATGCAAATTCTAACCCTGCATAGTATGCAAATTCTAACCCTGCATAGTATGCAAATTCTAATCGAAATTTTTTGAGTACAACTCTGACTCCGACTCCAGTTGTTGAAATTTTTTGAGTACAACTCCGACTTCAACTCCAGTTTAAAATTTTTTGAGTACAATCCGACTCCAGTTGTTAAATTTTTTTGAGTACAACTCTGACTCCAACTCCGACTACAACTCCAAAGCAAAGTTTTTGAAAAATTCTTTGAATTCTTTAAAAAATATTACGCTATAAGTTAAAAAAATTTTTTTTTGACAAATTTATGAAACGTTCTTTGAGGTTTAGTATAAACATAAGGTTAATTGAATGTTTTCTACATGCACGTGCAATACCGAGAAGTTTTACTATTGGAGTCGGAGTCGCGATTTTGTTTAGCGACTCCGACTCCTCTAAAAATGTCGCAACTCTAACTCCAAAGCCCTGCTACTAATAATGCTTATTGTGCCAGTTATGTCCAATAACGTATCATTTTTCATTAAATGATAGATATGTGTACGTAAATAATAAGTATCCATATAAGAATCAATTTCATTTATAGTATTTGAAGTTAAAATAATATTGTCTTGAATGTTTTTAATGCAAAAGATATCAAAATTTTCTGTCTTTTTTTAAGAAGGCTTAGTTTTATTAGTTGTTGTTAGTTTTACTTAAATTGACATCTCTTTTCACCTTTTTTGTCTATGACACTCAATCCATAATTTTATCTGTTGACATTAAATTTAAAAAAAAAGCATTTTTTTAAAAATGCTTTATATCAATCCCAGAATTCTAATTAGTAAAATTTCATGACATCAACCAAACAGTACACTATTAAGTGATCACAAGTTGCAATGTATGGAAGTACTTCTAGTCTTCACATTTTTTATTTTTTAAGAACTGTAAACTCTATTTTTATATTAAAATTCACAATTTGTTATTCAAAAAAGAAGAAAGAAGTTATGCAGGTCTTGAAATTATGATAAAAATATCAATCCCCCAACCACTTGGGTTTTTAAGAAATTCTATTGTTTCTGTGCAATGGTTATCTGAAAATCAATCCCAAAATGCCTTATGTTACTGGGAAAAAATCTATTTTTAGAATATAAACTTTACACTATTGAAAAAAATTAAAGGGGGTAACTTTAAATAAATAAATTATTTTATAAAGTTACCCCCTTCCTCTCCTCCCTAACAAACAATTTACCAGATTTACCTGTTAAACTGTTAACTAAAGACTAAATAAAGTTTATAAAATCTTCTTTCTTATTTCAATGTAAAGTAGTTTTTAAAATTTATAGCATTTATACACCTTCAAAAAAATCAGATTTTAAAGTTTTATATGATGTGAAAATACCTTAAACTGTTTAAGTACCTTAAGCTTAAGATTAGTTTTATATTGGTTGATTTTAAAATTACAGCAGATATTTTTTAGACGTTTAATAATTTTTTAAAAAATATTTTTTAACCTAAACGTTTCTAATATTTTTAGCAGTAGTATTGTATTTTTGCTAGCCCTATTTCTATTTCAAAAATTTTTTTAATAAACCAAACTCAATTGTTTACTACTAACCATAGTCACAATAATCCTAAATAAGTTTCTGATATCCCTATTTTGATGACAATTCTCTTTCTGAGTTCTTTACTTTGGATCTTTTTAAATTATTTTTTATTACTGGTGTCACATGAAATCCAAATAAATAACCTGCAAATGGCGCCTCTCTTTATCAAGCTTTCCGTTTTCTTACTCCTGATTCTCTACCTCTAAATATCTAAATAATTATCCTTGTATGGAATAATTATCCTTGTATGGAATAATTATCCTTGTATGGAATAATTATCCTTGTATGGAATACTGTTGTCATATTTAAACTAGTTTTTGTAATGATGTCTTTTTTCTTTTAAGTCCAAAAAAGTCATTGTAATTAAAAGACTTGCTCTAGCTGCCAAGTTTTAATATTTGTCCCATTGTTTTAAGGTTGCATCTTCTTATATTTTTTACAAAAACTACTATAGTTGCTGCTTAAGTATCATCTTTTGCTCCACCACCCAAACTAATTCTCTTGTTACTTGTCATTTAACAAAGCTGCATTCTTTTACTGTAACTGTTCTTTCATGCTCAGAAGTTTCATCTAGTTTTTTTCTCAAACAACACTGCTTTGGAAATTAGAGATGTAGAAATAAGTTTTTTTTAAAAAAACTAAGTAGTGGTTGCTTACAGCTTTTTTGGAAATGAAATTTTTTTAGTAAAAGATTTGTCCTTTATGCTAAGACATGTAAAACACTAGTTTTAGCTCATGTCTAGTTCATTAGTTAGCAGAAGTTTTTAAATATTTAGCTATAAATATGCATAGTACTTTTTATGCTATTAAATACATAGTGCAGAAACTTGAATAAATGAACAATTCCATATGTGCATTATTTTCAAAAATTTTGTTTTGAAAACAATGTGGGAGATTATCAAGTTTAAGTGGAATGAGTTCTTGGACAGCATGGTGGCAAATTACTGCAACATTACAAATTTCTGTAACAGGGCTCGAATTAAGGCAAAATAATCTAATCACGAAAAAGAAAAAAATTTTGGCATCTACCCTCCCCTCATCCCATGTGCTGCTTGTGGTAATGGGGGAGGGGGTTTCAATTTAAAGTTTAATTTGTAGTTATAGTGTAATGAGCAGGTATTTAATACTGCTAAGATATTACTTTTAGTAATTGTTTTACATTATACTTAAAAAAGTAAAAGTAAAAAACTAAGAGTATAATTGCAAATATTACAATATTTTAACCACTTTAATTAATCATAGAAATCTATTCATTTCGTTCTTGCTAACAAAACAGGTGTTTTATTGTGTTATTATGTGTTAACAACATATAAGATATAAATATAAACATTTATATGGTTAATTTTTACAATTCTTTGAGTATACTAAGTAAATTTTATAGTTGAATAACTGTAAGTTACTGCAGTAACTTAACTGGTTGTTTTGATTTAGTTTAAAGGTAATTTTACTGTGATGTACTTTATCCACTCACTAAATCAAACTAAATATATCTTTAAAACAATATTAGCTTTCACGTAGAAATTGAAAGTGATTTAAATTCAAAAGCTGTTGAATAAAATCTGATGTACTTTATGACACCTAATAAAAAACTTAGACAAAAGCATTACTTTTAAGAATGGCTGAAAAAAATGCTACATTAGGAAGAAAAAACAACAACAAAAAAACAAAGTTAAAACAAATTAACAAACAAACAAACAAATGGCGAAATTATTTTTTTCAAAGAAAAAACAAATCGCGAAGGTGTGAAAAACAATTACACTTCACAATCGCTATGTTCTTAATTCGAGCCCTGTGTAATATTACAAATGACTGCAACATTTCAAATCACTGTAACATTGCAAATTACTGCAACATTACAAATTACTGTAACATTGCAAATTACTGCAACATTACAAACTACTGCAACATTACAAATCACTGCAACATTACAAACTACTGCAACATTACAAATTACTGCAACATTACAAATTACTGCAACATTACAAATTATTGTAACTTTACAAATTACTGCAACATTACTAACTACTGCAACATTACAAATCACTGTAACATTGCAAATTACTGCAACATTACAAATAACTGCAACATTACAAATTGCTGCAACATTACAAATTACTGTAACATTGCAAATTACTGTAACATTGCAATAATGCACAATTTTTCAAATTGTAAATTATGTTTTCTAGTCAAAAGATAATGAAATATTTTGTAACATCTTTTTCAGATGAATTCAATATACGAAAAGGTCATTCAGCAACAAGTTTTACTTGCTATGGAGGCATCAAAAACAAGAGAATCGAATAAGCCAAAATATGAATATGATTCTGATGAAGAAACAGAAGGTGGAACATGGGAACATAAAAAACGTCATCAAGAAATGATGAAAACGCTTGGTAAGAAATAATTTGAATGCAGATAAGTTAGTATTTTTATATGAGCATATGTGTATACATAATCCATACATACATACATACATACATACATACATACATACATACATACATACATACAAACATACATACTTTCATACATACATACATACAGACATACATACAGACATACAGGCATACATACATACGTGCATACTTACATGACATACAGTTTTAGAGAGCTGTAAGCACTTTGTTACATACATCAACTGATATAGGAAGAACATGCAAGGGAGTTGCTGATACAACTGTTGGGTTTGGATTGGGGCAGTGATAAGTTTTATTCATTAATCTTTGATTTTTTCATCTTTTTGAGAAAAAAACCGATGTATATAGATTTGCAAAAAAAAGTATGCAGAGCATATTTATATGTCCTATATTCACACACATATATCTTAAGCTTATTTAGCTTTATGCTAAACATAATAGGTGCTATTATACTAAAAAAACTATTGGCAGAGGTTTAAGTGCATGCATTAAATGAGGCTTTAGGCTTTGGAAAGTACTATTTAGATATGACAGACTTAATTACAATAAATAAAATTCTATTTATTTCATTATTTTTTATTTTTTCCCTCTTTTTCTGATAAAGCTTGATTGTTAAATGTTTTAACACTTTTTTTTTAATTTTAACACATAAGAATATTAAAATTTTAAGATATTGCATACTAAGATACAGTCTATCTTAATATTAAACATAATATTAAGTATATAAGTAAATGAATAAATTTAGTGCAGAATTTTAAAGAAAAATTATCTACTTATCAACATGAACTAAAAGTTTTATTACAATCTGATAAGTGCTTTAAAAAAAATGCCAAAGTTTGAAAAATCATAGTGCACAAATATGAGACATAAATCTTGAAGCTTTACTTAGATTAATTTAAAAAAAATTTAAGGTCTTTAACTTTCTCAACCAAAGTTGAAAGATTCAAGGAATAGTTGAGCCGTTGAGGCAATCATCAGATCATTAAAGCAAAATCTAATTATTTCAGACAATAATCAAGCTCAAAGATTAAGAACATCACCCACAGTAACCTAAAATACTTTTTTTATTTTTGGCTTTGAATCCTAATGTTTCATCAAATATCTAAACTAACAAAAAAAAAATAGTGACAAAAAAGTGAGCTTTGATTGTTAATAAAATCATAACTAAAGATGGTGGTTGTTTATTACTTGATGATTACTTATCTAAAAATGTGACTTCAAACAAAATGCAGGAAAAAGTTATTATGTCTCTGCAATGTTTGTTTAAATATGTGATGCAAGAGTTTTTCTATCTTTAAGTTAATATAATTTTGTAAAAAGTAAATTAAAAATAATTTTTATGCTGACTATAAAAGATTATTTAGAAAAGAGAAAAAATTTTTTTCCCTTTAGAAGTGAAAGTTTGATAGTTAAAAATAATCCAAATTATGTGTCTCTATTATTCTACCTAAATGTAGTTTTGTCTTGGTTATACAACTTAAATGTAGTTATGGTGCTTTAAAATCAAAATTGTTATGTGAAAGGCCATCTATGCATCAATTTTCAAGTTAATTCCCAGAGCTAGACAGCAGCGCGACTCAGTCTGCTACTCCACTATATGCGAACTTTCCATTTGGTAACGGAGTTGCGAAAGCGCTAAAAAAATTTAATTGTGGACTAATGTCGCTACAAAAAAGAAATCTAAAGCGCTACTCCGCTACCATTTAAATTTAGATATACTATTTGAAATTATTTGAGTTAAAGATTTTTTCATTTACCGAAAATGTGAAAGAAAAATAAATCTTTCAGAGAATCAAATTTCCCTGTGTTATCAAAGTAATCTCAGATGTGTGCAATTTGATTTTAAAACTTTGAAGAAATGGCATTAGTGTTGCGTTAGTTTGCTAATGCACCTATTTATCAACATGACACCTTTCTTTTTGGAGGAAATTTCTGAAAAGTAACAATGATATTATTCTATCAAAGCACCGTTGTTGTGCAGCACAGAAAATAAGTTTGCTGGCTTGTAAGAATACCTAGACATAGTCAAGTTTAAATGAGTTGTTTGGCCATTATTTTTAAAGCCAGCTGCAAAGACTTATGAGATATGCAATGCCTAAAATAGGAGGACTGTGATGGCAAATGATATCAAGGCAGCCCTGAGGTTGGCGACACTAATGACCACCAGTTAGAATTCCGTCTATGATTCCTTCTACAAGCTGCCAGTTGTCAACTACATCTACTATAATTATAATATTACACATCCTTGTTACAAGCTGCCAGTTGTTAACTACATCTGCTATAAATATAGCACAGTGAACAATGCAGCAAATGGAGTAAAAAGATGAAAGATTAGGGACTTTTTGCACATAACCAAAACCAAAAAATTAGATTTTACACCAGAATCCGATGAGACTCACTAGGTAAATGCTGGTGACATTGATGTAAGTTACAATTTATTCAAAAAAATTAGCAACACTAAGTTAGGGTAAAAACAATCAAAAGTGTAAACAATTTAATAAAGCGTCACTTTATGTGACGTCACTTTATGTGACGTCACTTTATAACATCTCGTATAAAAATCAAAATCTGATTGCGGGGAAAAATTATAGTAAGTTTTTTTCTTTATTTTTTTTTTTTTTTTTTATATATAGCGGAAGCGGTTCGAGTTCCCAAAAATGCGGAAGGTAGCGGTAGTGCTTCCATATTTATGGTAGCAATGCCCAGCTCTGTCAATTTCATTCATTTTATATAGCTATTTGTATATCTTTTTATGTCAAAAAATCCTACTTCAAAAATGCTGGGTCAACATAAATATAAAAAATTTAAACATGAGTATCTGAAGAACACCCTTTGTAATATTTGTTAATATTGGCGCACAAAAGAATTTACACATATATATATATATATATATATATATATATATATATATATATATATGTCAAAAAATCGTGCTATAACGATATTTTTCTTAAATATTATTTATTGGTTGATTCCATATTTTAGGATATGTAATTATTTTGTTATGTTCTATTAGAATGGGCCAGAGATCTTACAGAGAACGCCAAAGGTAAACATCATCTCTCTGATTTCCTTCCACCTGAAGAGCTTGAAAAGTTTCTTGAAAAAGTTAAAGCTGTAAAAGAAGGCAGAGAAGCTGATTTTTCGGATTATGCAAAGTATAAAATACAAGAAGATAATATAGGTTTTAAGATGTTGCAAAAAGCTGGATGGAAAGAAGGAGAGGGCCTGGGATCAAAAGGAGACGGAATTGTTCAACCAATAAATAAGTATATCAAAATATTTTTATTTGAATTTTTAAGTTTTGATAATGTGTTTTGAGAGCACGTTTTGAAAATATGCTTTATCAAAATTTTGTTTAGAGGTAAAGTATCTTTTGACCAGTCTGGAATAGGTGTCGAAAAGGTGCATGAAGTCCAACAAGACGATGACGATTTTGAAGTTTATAGAAAGAGAATGATGCTTGCATATAAATTCAGACCTAATCCACTGGTATGTTTTTTAATCGGTTATTTAAATTTACTTTATGTATTAAATTCTATTTTTATTATGTTTTTTAATGTTTCTTCTCAATAAAAATGGTATTATTAACAATTACCGTACAACTTCAAAATTCATATTTTATTTTTACATTGCTTTTTTGTTATACTTTAGAATAACCCTCGGCGACCTTATTACTCGTAAACGACCTTATTACTCGTAAAGTTTAACTTCTGATAAAACAAGGATGAAAATCAATTTAACCTGTGTATATTTTCCCTTTTAATGTTATATATGTTATATATACACACACTCATATATATATATATATATATATATATATATATATATATATATATATATATATATATATATATATATATATATATATATATATATATATATATATATATATAATATATATATATATATATATATGTTTATGTGTTTTGTATAAATATGTTTATGTGTTATGTATAAACATATATATGTATACACACACACACGCATTAGATATACAGTGTTCTAAACGATAAACCTATAAGCTATCAATTTAAGTATAAACTATAAAAATTTCACGCGAAAATTTCCTTTTATATATATATATATATATATATAATATATATATATATATATATATATATATATATATATATATATATATATATATATATATATATATATATATATAAATATATATATATATATATATATATATATATATATATATATATATATATATATATATATATATATATATATATATATATATATATATATATATATATATATATATATATATATATACACACGCGCGCGATAAGTCAAATGTGTATGTGTGCGAGAGTGTGTGTATTTAACATGAAGCCACAGCGAAATATGTTTTTTTCCTGCTTATCGTATGTTAAAAGAAATTCTTCTTTTGGTTTGTTTAGAACATTGTATTTAATAAAACATTTTTAAAGATGATTTGTAAAATCCTGAGGTTGGTTAAAGATATATTAGTCACATTTGATTTTCGAGTTATCAAAATATAGTTTTTATCTATCAAACACTATCAAAGGCTTTTATCTAGCAAAAATTTTTAATTATTTGCTTTAAACTGATTTCAGTTTTAAGAAAATTGTATTGTATACTTTTACTTAATATTTGATATTTATTGAGTAAAGTTTAATATTTCAATCGACGCAAATAAATATTACTTGTAGTAAGATAAGTTTACTCAAATAACTAAATGTGTAAATAGATCTTAGTATTTATAAGTAAAATTAATTGATATCTGTTTTTTTATTTTAATTTGCACAATAATAGGCTTTAAAAAGATGGAAACGTGTGCATAAATGACAAAGCTTATAACTTTTTGAAGTTGCTACGTTTTATGTTATATTATACAATGTTATTAGTTATGTTAAATATTGTGTTTACCTAAGGTACTATTTTTTTGTAAACTAAATTTCATTTTTACTCCTAAGTCCGTTAAACAAAATAATTAAAAATATTTCTCTTCAGTTATAATTTTTTGATTCTTATATATATATTTTATTTAATGGTATTCGTAAATTTTTTAAAGGTGCCCAATACCTAATTTTTCTCTATTTACTCCTTTATGTTAAACATGTTCTGTTTTAATACAAATATATTCTGTTAATTAAATTTCGAAAGTTTAATTATTGAATTCTACAAAATGCAATTAAGACTTCAAAATAAAAAACAAAAATACATATACAAAACATAAACTATGTTTATAGACGGGTTGCTTTGTTTTTTACGCACGCGCAAAAAAACGGCAGGCGAAACATGTTAAAATTTTGTTTAAGATCCTGCGTAATTCCAAAACTGCAGTTATTTTCTCAAAATATAAGTTTTCATTTCTTTCCCTTTGTAATCAAATTATGCCTGATAATAAATTTCACGTGTGTATATATATATATATATATATATATATATATATATATGTTTATAAAATGTTTTATTTCAAAAGGTTTGTCAACAAATCATAAAATATGTTTTCCAATTTAAAAAGAAGTTAAACTTTATTTAGTAGTGTTACACAAAATTATATTGTCTTTATGCTGCAAAACGCAGGTAGAGAAAAACCAGTTTTTATTTGAAGACAGAGGTAATGATACCATTTGACTGGACAATGAAAATTTACACACGCAGAACAGCTGTAGTTGAGTTGGATTCAATTTTCTTCTTACCATTTTTTAATGTAATTTCTTAAAAAACTGTTTTAATTTTGTTTTTAAAGATACAGAGTTAATCATTTGTCATGTTTCTATTACTTCAACAGATAATATTTTGTTTTCGTTACCATCATTTGTTGTTGTATTTGGTAGTAGTTCTTGTGATTAGTTTTAATTAGACCATTTTTATTTAGTGGATAATTTTGGTCATCTTTTTTACAACTCTAAGCTGTTTCTATAATTAAAGAGAATTTTATTTAAAAAATACCCGTTCCATGACAATTTCATTTTTCAATTTTATCTTGACTTGCACTAAGGATAATCAACATTAATGTACAAACCAGCGATTGTGGAGACATTACATTCAAAAGTTTATATTTTGCAATACTTTCAATTTTAAGATCATAATCTTTTGGAATATAGCAAACAATTTTAGAATATTACATTATTTGACTTATAAAGACTTGTGAGGGGTTACCAATATTTACATTGTACCCCATTTTATAAACAGATTCAGTATTTTATAAACAGATGAAGTCCAGGCCTGAAAGTTTTTGACAAATTTTCTATTGTATTAAGTTAACTTTAATGAGAATTCATCAACAATTTGAATGAAACTTGATTTTTCTGTAACTTTATCTTGGCTTTCGTTAATAAGCAATGGCTCATAATGAACAGTAATAATGAACAGTATTTGGTTCAATCTGATCTTTAGAAGTAAAGTAAAACTAATTTTCATATGCAGTGTCTGTTTCATTACAGTTCTCTGTTTCATCAATTTACCAACTAATAATTTTAAAAACAACAGCTTTTGATCTTAATTTATGATATTAATTGGTTGGTTATGTTATTAATGTTATTAATTGGTTGGTTATGTTATTAATGTTATTAATTGGTTGGTTATGTTATTTATGTTATTAATTGGTATTAGTTTATAATATTAATTGGTTCAGCCTGATCTTTAAAATTAAAGTAAAACTCATTTTCAAATGCAGTGTCTATTTCATTAAAGCTCTCTGTTTCATCGATTAACCATCAAAAGCTGTTGTTTTTAACGAATTTGAAAACAACAGCTTCTGATGCTAATTTATGTAAATTTTGGTACGAATTCTCAGTTTTTCTTTAATTTCGCTGGATTAATGAAGTATAGATTAATAGAAGTATATCCTTTATTTTATTATTTATTTTTAAATTTATTTTACTTTTAAAAATTGGCAAAGTATTTTTTGATACTGGTTAACAAATTTTGACATATTTTATCGCACTGGTTCCACTTTGTGAGATTTTTTATTCACGTAGTTTACTTGTACAAACTTCACATCATAACTTTTACTTAGCTTTAGATCAAATGTTTTGCCTGTCGTTTTTTGCGCACGCGCTTTAGAATGTAAACAAAGCAACCCGTCTATTTCTCCGTATCTAATAAATGGAGCTTATAAATATGTATTCAAACTGCCTCAGCAAATATAGTTTAGAAAAAAACGTATTATCAAAATTTCTGTTCATTATTTAGAAACTATAAATAATGTATGCAAATATATTGAATAATAATTAAATATATATATATATATATATATATATATATATATATATATATATATATATATATATATATATATATATATATATATATATATATATATATATATATTAGTGAAAACGAAATCAAAATTTAAAAAAATACTATCTAAATAGAACTTTTAAAAACAAAATATTAAGTTTATTTATTATCATCGTCGTTTTTGGGCTTCGATGGTGCAGACGGCCGCTTGCAGTTTTATTTTTTTTTTCCAAATAGTTTACTTCAGAAATGTTATCACTAAGAGAAATAAAATGTTTTAGCAAAAAAAAAAAAAATTTAAACTTAGGGTAGTATACCATTAAAAAAAAAATCTTGCATTTCAACTTTTTATTTTTTTAATAATGCATAATATATATGATTAAAATAAAAGTTAAAATTTGATTATGCGCATTATTATTGATAGACAAAAGCTTAAAAATGACATGTTTTTTTTTTGTGATCCTTTACTTATGCAATTACAACATACTAAAAGCTTTGGATTTTGACCAAAAAAAGTCAAAATATATGCATTTTAGTCATATTTGGAAGTTTTGGTGTTATTTGAGAACACGAAACCACACACAAAAGTAGAACGCAATTAGCTTTAAACATAATTCTAGCAGAAGCAGCAAATACATGTACTACAAACAAGTGTGCTAAATTTCATTTCAAAAATCTCCTGGCTATTAAACATAATTTTGAGGAAAACTCAATTTAAAAACAAAAACAAAAAAAGTTGTTCAAAACTTCTAATTCAATTAACATAACTTTAAACTTCATTTATAAGACGAAAGTTTTGTTGATTGCAACCTACTGTTATTTCAAGCTTATCAAATAACGTCTATAAAAATTGTAGTCCATTATTAAACTATAAGACAGCTGATGCTACTCCAACACATAGAGCAGTTCTTTCAAAAAATATATATTTGGGACACCGCTTCCAAATCAATTGATTCAAGGATTCATTAGGATTTTGTGCTTTACCGTAAAAAAAAATTTCTAAAATATATAAATGTTACTTTCATTCATACAACAATAAAATAAGTCTTAAACGAATTTAAAAGAATGAACAAACTTAATAAAGTAACAAAAAGAGTTGGATTAGAGAAACAAAAAGAGTTGGATTAGAGAATGAAGATTCAAAAATATCAGTAAAACTAGTACACAAAATTTTTAAAGAAATGTTTGAAAAACATCAAAACGATATTCTTAACATAATTATTGGAAATCTTAAGCTAACAAGCGATAGAGTTAACGGTTTAGCAAAAAAAAAAACGAAAAGTTAAAGGCTGAGGTTACAAAAATTAATGAAAGATTAAAAAACACACGAATAAAGATATTGAAGAAAGTTTAAACGCCACCCAGGAAATCCAAGAAAAAAAGTTAATGAACTGAAAAAAAAATTAAAAATTAATGTAATATTAACATCGGTGATGAGGAAAAAAAAAAGTTAAGGGAGCTTGAGGACAGACGAAGAAGAAACAATCTTCGGATTGATGGAGTGATGAAAAATGAA